AAAACCTTGCCACGCAAAACCAACACAGTTCAGAAGTGACCAAAATGCGTGCAGATTTTATTCAGCAGCAGGTTAACAAAGAAAAATTGTCCAAATGCTAACACGAGAGTTATTTGGTTAATTCAGTTTACAGATGGATGATAATTCACAAAGTATTAATATAAAGTGAAAACATTGCCATTCTGTTGTAGCTATATTATAGAGCATGTAGCCTTGCGTAAAGGTGATACCTGCTTATATTCAGGATGGCAACCCTTACTGAGTATTCTTATAAATGCCTGCAAATGCTTGCACTTCACTGGGGGGGAAGATGGAGAGATTGATTATGTTATACTATACAAGCCACTTAACAGGCAAACAGATTTTATTACAGTTATGCTGAATAAGGAGTGGGATCTTCTACCAGAGGTTTCCCTTTGGGAAGCAATCAATATTGAAAATAAGTTCAAGTAGAGAGTCTGAGACTAAGATTTTGATTGTTGCATGACTTAGAGTTTTATTATAAATGTGTGAAATATGACAAGAATAAAGTTTCTCTGAGACTTTCTAAAGTCACAAAATTCAGGAAACTTTTTCAAGTTTCTCACCTGTGTAGTAAGTAGGTGCTTAGACTATTAATTAAAGAGCTACTTCCACGATGCTAATTCTGGTATGTTTGTTCAGAAGGGTCTTACACACAAAGGAAAAATCACTTTAAAAAAATATCCCTTTGTTGATTTGTTGTCTGGATGAGGTTATTTTCCACATGGCAGATGAAACTACTCTTAACCTTTTGTTACTACTTTAAGTAAAAATAACCCTGTTGGAAATGTCACATTTTAATTTTTCATATATATGTTTTTAATTGTTTTTACTTCTACAGATGGGTGCTTGCTTTTCAAAGGTTTTCAATGGCTGTCCATTAAAAATTCATTGTGCAACATCATGGATAAATCCAGATACAAGAGGTAGTATATCACATATATTTTACCAATTTTTGTCCTCTCCTCAGATTTCAAGAGTTCTTAGATGATCAAGGCTATTCCTTTTGAAAATAGACATATTGTAAAATAGGTTTATTTATATGAGCAGAAGTTCTTCTTTAATTATGCCACTGCTGAGGCATAATGTTTTGTTTTGTTTTTGTTTCTGAAGGTCAACGTTTTGTTTTGTTTTTATTATGTTAAGATAAATGGGGTGTAGTCTAGCTTTCTTAGTAAAACACCTTCCTTTCAAACACCGTAGCTACTATAGATTGGTTTGTTACAATGTGTGTAATTAAGTCTTTTTTTTTTTTTTGTAAAGAGCTGCGTACTCTTATGAAACAAATCTTCCTTAAATCAGGATTTCTAGGTTGTTTTTGTTTGTGTTTGCAGATCAGTACTTGATATTTGGTGCAGAAGAAGGTATTTACACACTGAACCTCAATGAACTTCATGAAACATCAATGGAGCAGGTATATTTATAGTTTGATATTTTGGGGAAAAAATACACCTCTGTAACTTTTTTAGTCACTTAGATTAATGTTATATAATCCTTGCAAAAATTGTCTTTACTACAGTTACATAGGCACTAGATGCATTGAGAATTAACCTTAAATGTTTACTACAGAGGATACCTTTCAGTCGTGTTTAAGTTTTTTGTAGGCTGAACCATGTTTAAGTAGGAGATCTGCATATATCAATGTATTGAACTTCATTGTAGTGCATTGTCCTGCAGTTAAATGATTTGTTTAGTAGTATGGAATTTCCCTGATATTTTTGGATGAAAGTTTTTCTATTTTCTTGAAAGCTTTGTTACAAGATAGAATGTTTACAACAAACATTGTGTTTCAACTACAGGGAAGCAAGGAGATCCTTTGTACACTAGATTCCATTCTTTTCTTCTTAAAAGCAGCTTTGCTGATGAGACTCAGCTTCCTGAATCCCAATTAAAACTCTGTCTTTGCAGAATCTTATAAATAGTAATTCTTTTGAGGGGGATAGTGTGTGTGGGGGGGGAAATGCTAATTGCAGGCTTTTCTGTATGGTGTCTTCTCCAGCTCTTTTGTTAATCTCTAAGAGACTTGTTTTCTTTCCTGCCTTCTCCCTAACTTAGGGAGCTATGCATCTGCCATCAAGATGGAGGAATTTGCAAGGACAGCCTTCACACTGTAAGCTGGAGGCACTGGTGTTTGTTCATCTTCCAGGGTCCAGACGTTGTAGATATGTCTGTTGTGTTGAGAAGGAGCCCTAGCTAGCTTGCACTGAGTTCCATGTAACCCATAATCATAGTGGTGCTTGAGTTAGCTAGTTAAACTTAGCTCAGGTACCTCTCTGCTGCTACGCTGCAGTTGTAAAACCTACCCTGAGACATATCACTAATACAGTTATTCTTGTAGGCCAGGTAGACCATGGAAAGTTTTATTTGTTTTTTTTTGGGGGGTTATTCTTTGTTGGTTTCTGTTTTGTTTTGTTTTTTAAATTGGCAAGGAGAATAGGTGTAATGAAACTCATGCTCTCATATCCATCCTTGTTTTCTCTAAGCACCATGTTCTATAGTGCATTGTCTAGTGAGCTTTTAGGGAAATGTTTTAATAATCACTTAGATACTAGAAGAGATGCTTATGCAGCTACAGAAGACCAATCAAACTTGCACATTAAATTTGGATGCAGCCAGGCTGGCAGATTATTACTGTTGGTTTTCCTTACAGTGTATTTAGGTTAAGAGAAGACTTCAGGAATAGAAGTGCACCCTTGTGCTAACCATTTATTACATTGTTGTTTATTATAACAGGCAGTAGGGCTTTAATAGCGTTTTCAAGTTCTGTGTTTCACTTCATTGTTTACTCTCTAGGTCTGATATAATTCAGTGTAAAAGCAAAAGTAGTATCCTTGGTTATTTTTCACTACATTCCACTTCACTAATGGACAAAGCAGAAATAACATGTTTCGGGAGTTAGCACAGCTTCAAGTGAATCTCTTGGTCTTTGGCAGAAAAATATTTCAATTAATTTACAGATCTCCTCAAATCTTTCTAATAAACCAGCAGTGAGGGGGTTTTATTGTTTGGGTTTTTTGGGTTTTTTTTTTTCAGAGCCAATGAAACAACATCCTGAGTGGTTTGTCTAGCCCAATAAGCTTATTTCCTAAAGTGGCAGTAGGAAATGCCCGTAAGTTTGGCCACTGTCTGCTGTCCGTTCTTGTCAGACTCCGCTGCAGTCATTGGATCGGGGATGTTGGAGGATCCCTGCCTATTTGCTCTTTGTGTCCATTTATGGACCTGTTGGACATGAGTCTGTCTAATCCCTTGTTGATACTTTCCACCTCTGTGACCTCTGGCAATAACAAGCTCCAGAAGTTATGAGGGGGGGGGAAAAGTACCATCTTTTTTTAAAATCTTTTTTTTTATTTAAAGGATGTCTTGTTGGCTTCAGTCCCATCTTTCTAGTAGTTGTGGGATTTGACAAATAACAGTTCTGCCTTGACCATTTGTTGCATTTCTTGATCACTTGCAGATGGCGAGTTCCTTCAAGTGCCAGTTTTAATTGTTTTAAGAGATTGGAACTGTCACAGACTTTAGAACGGCTATGATGTGTTGACCATGCTTTGTTTACTGAAGTTTGTGTTGTTAAGCTTTTCTCCTTTAATATTTTAGAAAAAGGATGGATTGATCTTTAACAACATCTTGTGGGCTAATTGTAGTATACTTGAAGACATGAATATACAACGTACTAATTGTCTAAATGTTAATGTGTATGTTAAATATATTGTGTGCCTAAGATTTACTCTGAATTAACTCTGGAATCCAGGTAAACATTACTTGGTTTAAGCTAATTTCTGCTACAAAAAGCAAGTCGATAATTAGTTTTGTCCTGTCGTCTATGCAAATATTAATTGATCAACTTAATGTGCTCTCACTTTGCATATATCAAATTGAATGCTTTTCTTTCTTTGTTTTTCTTTCCCTTTATCAGCTGTTTCCTCGAAGGTGTACATGGTTATATGTCATGAACAATTGCTTGTTATCAATATCTGGTAAGTTACTGTGCTATCTTTGAGTGGTAGTGGTGGTAAATATTTGGTTTCGTATTTGAAGTGTGGTTTTGTTTTCTAATTTCCAGGTAAAGCTTCTCAGCTTTATTCCCATAATCTACCAGGACTCTTTGATTACGCAAGGCAAATGCAGAAGTTACCCGTTGCTATTCCAGCACATAAACTCCCTGACCGAATACTTCCCAGGTAAATACATGTCATCAGATACGTATTTTAATTCTAGGAATTCAGGATATGCTTGTGAAACTCTGGGAATACCAAATAGTGTGGAACTCTGTTCACAGATTGCCCATATGAGTTATTTATGGCATTAATCAGAGGGTAGACCCCTAAAATTACATGAATCAAGATGTAAATATACTCTTACTAGAGAAGTGGGTTTTGGTACATCTTACCTTCTTGTCATGAAGCCTCTTGTTTCTGGGCATAGCTCTTTTCAGGTATAGACTAGTATGGTTGTACTTGATGCTAAACAAAATCTAGTGTCAGTATTGTACCTGTGATATTTCAGCCGCGTAGAAATGATGATCTTACATTAGTTACTCTGAGTACTATCATTCCATTCTATTAAAATAAAAAAGGTGGAGGATGTGTAGCCTCATACTGCAGGGGGAATGACCTCATGGGTTATTTTGAAAGCTGGGGAGAGTACAACTGGAGTACAGATTTGACATTCCTCATTGGCTAGTCATTTTTTGCAGGCCACTGTAGAAGGTACTTTTGTCCCCAGATGCCTACAACACTTTGTGCATGCAGTCCCTCCAACTTTATTTACTAACAAACGCATACAAAATCCCAGAGACTGAGCACAGTGGTGGCTGCCAAACAAGCCTTAGCAGCCAATTCAAATCCAAGAGGAGGAGGTAGTAACGCTAATCTAGTTTGCAGAGAAACTTTTGATTCTTAAAGTGCATAGTGAATCACTGGTTCTCTGCTACCTTTGGTTCTATTAACATCCTGTTAACATTTAATTCTTGGATTCGGGTAAGGCTTCTTGTTCGGTCATCTGCAAACATAATGGTGCAACACATGTCTGAAAACTGTGTTCTTCCTAGAGGCTAAATTCTAATTACCTAAGAGATAATTTGTGCTTTGAATTGTTGTCTTCTGTGTGCCTGCACCACTGTTCTGCTCTTTTCTCTTCCAAACTAACTTTGGCTGGGTGACTTTGGATTGAGGACTGCATCAGCAGTGAACTAATAACCATAACTATCATAAGGATCATATGAGGAAAACCTTCAGACTACATTCAGCCTGGAATGACAACTCACTTAAGTCGCAGAGGACTCAGAAAATTTCTTGTCCAGTCATGTCACTTCCCAAGAAAAATGCAGCACAACCTGAATGTGCGAGTGCCAAGCCAGTCATTCAAAGGCAGGAGAGATTCATTTAGATAATCCATTTTTCTGTTTTATCCTTTGCTGTAAGGCATCAGGGTAGTAACATTAGGCAGGCAGAAGTACATTCGAAGTATGTACAAGAGCATTTTTTTCCTACCAGACCACTAAGTATATTCTTCTGCAAGTTCCAGTATACTGAGGTCTCCCCTCAGCCTCCTTTTCTCCAGACTAAACAGCGCCAGTTCCTTCAGCTGCTCCTCACAGGACTTGTGCTCTAGACCCTTCACCAACTTTGTTGCCCTTCTTTGGACATGCTCCAGCACCTCAGTATCTTTCTTGTAGTGAGGGGCCCAAAACTGAACACAGTACTCAAGGTGCGGCCTCACGAGTGCTGAGTACAGGGGGACGATCACTTCCCTGGTCCTGCTGGCCACACTAGTTCTAATACAAGCCAGGATGCTGTTGGCCTCCCTTATCTAGGGAAGAGTTTGACAGAGAACAATGGATACTTAAAGAGCAGTAAGTATTTGGCTCAATTAAGTTGCTCTCTACAACTACCCGAAAGGAGGTTGTAGTGAGATGGGTGTTGGTCTCTTTTCCCAGGTAACAGGTGATAGGACAAGAGGAAATGGCCTCAAGTTGTACCAGGGGAGGTTTAGATTGGATGTTAGGAAAAATTTCTTCACTGAAAGGGTTATCAATCATTGGAACAGGCTGCCCAGGGAAGTGGCTGAGTCACCATCCCTGGAGGTATTTAAAAGAAATGCAGAGGTGGTGCTTAGGGTTTAGTGGTGGACTTGGCAGTGCTAGGTTAGTGGTTGGATTCGATGATCTTAAAGGTCTTTTCCAACCTAAATGGTTCTATGATAATGAGCGCTATGTAAAAAATGTAGATATGTTAAAAGCAAAGGTTTTGGTAGAGAAAATGCAAAGCAAAATAGAATTCAAAGTAATTTGTGACATTCGTATATTCACCTGCAAAATTGTCTAAGCTCGATTTATGATACTTGGTAGGCAAATGTTCAGTAGCAGAATATATGTCTGTGATAAGTCTCCTTACCAGCTTCTTTCCCTTGAGTGTCCTTGAGCAGTCCTTTCAAACCTTCCATACCTTCTTTCAACCAAAATTTGTGGCCAGTACTTGGTTTTCATGCTGCTCAGTCCTGCTGCATTATCAGTCACTTCTGGACAGCTTCATTTGAAATGCTGTGCAAGTATTTTCCCAATTCATAGCTTTGACCGCAGCATCTATCTATCACTCCACTTATTCCTATCTTTTCTACGGTATCAAATTAGTTATTTTTACTGTCAAGACTACTGTGGCCAGTCTCCATACTGTCTGTCATCTTCTAGTCTGTACAGAAACACCGATTCCCACTACCAGCAAACATCATCTTCCCTGGCTTATCTGATAAATTTTCAAGGAATTGTTTACTGATTAATTTAATTGATTTCTCAGGGAGTGTCCTCTTCCAACAAGAAAACATCTTGCAAAGCTGCCTTCCAGTCCTCCTTCAGACCTTCTCTTGAAATGCATGCTGTGCTGCCTATGAAAAGTTTTGCAAAATTTATGCTGTTAGTTTGCAAGGACTGTGGTCCAGCAACCTATCCAGTATGGCACCATTTCCCACACCCTTTGGGTCCATATGTCTTGTCTTCAAACTATAATGTCCTTGGAACAAAGGTGGACTTTCTGTTGTCTGTGTGGTATCCAGCACAAGATGCAGTAAGCTACAGCATTACAGAAGAATGGTGATGGGAGTACCAATAGACTATCCAGGCATGTGTATAAATACATATAATTAAATAGCAAGAGATAGTGTTAAATGACACTTGAAGGTACTGAGGTACCTATTCCTCTCCGTTCCTGACTTTTAACTGCATAACTGAGCAGCATCTCAGTGCTAACAGAGGGATCACCATGTATGTTCTAGGCATATAATTTTGAGAAAAAATATACAAATAAATATATTTTTAGGTTGGGGGGTGTCAAATATAAGTTTTCCACCAACAACTCTAAAAAGCAAATTAATTCAATTGTTTTAGTTGATCAATAATTCTATATTTATATCTTGTAGGAAGTTTGCAGTGTCTACAAAAATTCCTGACACTAAGTGGTGTCAAAAGTGTTGTGTTGGTAAGTAAAGATCTGAAGACAGTGCTGTCTCTGAAGCCTTTATAGCGTGTTCAGAGTGCCAGCTACTGAAGTATCAAAGCTGCACTGTGTTGAGACATGTTTTAAAAGGAGGATGAGGGCAGATAGATTAAAAAAAAAAATCCAACAAAAAACAACACAAAAAAACACAACCAAAAAATCCCCCAAACAAACAAGAAAAAACCCACAGCAAAGGTAACTATGGATGATCTCCTGGGCTCGAGCTCTTGTCCCTGGAAATGTTTCACCTGGTGTTCCATAATCAAATGTTTGGTGTGAGGAGTTGTGTTATACAGGAGATTTTTAGAGACTTGGTGGTAAACAAGCATCTGTCATTTATTCTGGCAAAAACCTCCCCAATATTGCTAAAACATCTGATGTTTGTTACCACTTCTTTGTCCAGCTCACCTGTTAAAATTTCACTTTTTCTGGGATACAAATCCTCTAGGGTGTGGTAGGGTGTTAACTGTGTGTACTGTGTATGTCCAGGCCTTGCCCTAATTGAGACATCTAATCAAGCTGTGAATGTTAATGGCTGGGGAACACCCAAAGGGGTGGAGTGACAGCGATCAGAGTAGGTAAAAATGCTGGCTTTCTGACATGAAAATTAATTTGGAAGTCCGCATGTTTTCAGGTCTCTCTTTATGAAATGAGAAACCTGGTGGTGTGCTCCTCTGTAATCTTACTGTTTCTGTACTAACAGGCACAGAATTTAACAAGTGTGCGGTGGGATTTGGTGTTACGAGGGGGAGTCTGCTGTCTTAGCATTCAGAGATACCTTAGCCTAGTAAGCCTGGAGTCCTCCTTGCATGATAGGCGTGATAATTTGTGATGGCAGCAAGGGCAACTGCAAAAGGCAGATCCAAGGGGAGACATGATGGGTTCCCCTTTCCTGCCCTGCTTACTATGTGCAGCCTGAGTCTCCTCCATTAAGCATAAGTCACCCTTTGGCCTGGGGAAAACAGCAGTGCCACAGGAGGCAGAAAAAGACGAGAACTTCTGGTCTTGTTTCTCCACCTTATAGGTGTTGTTAATTGCACGTTTTGTGGTTTCTGCTGCTGAGTTCAGCCTTACTAAGGGTCATGCCAAGCATTATTTGCTGCAGTTTGCAGCCTGACTGATGTTCAGTGAGAACTTGGATTAATGAAATTAAGCTTTGATGTTGAAGGTGCCGAGGGATTGCTAGTGGATTTCCTTGGCAGTAAGGTAGCAGGAACATATTTCATTTACGTAGATAGTGCTGGATTGTAGAAGCTCGTTATCTGAACTGTGTTGTTAATTGCCTGTTGGCACACCGTCACTTTACTGCACTTTAAAATCTGGTCTTTATATGTAATTGTATAAAGTGCAAAGGAACACTTGTTTGTCTTAATGGGCTGGCAGTGCTTAAGGAGTGAAATTTTGTCAATATTATAGAATTAAAGTTTTCACAGTGCCCAATTTTGCAACTTTATTGTTTTCTTCCAATTTTTAATTGAGTTCTGACAAACAAGAGAAGAACAGTTTAATGGAAATAAATGATGTCACTTTAAAAAAACCTGAATTTTCTGCTGGTCTAGAAGTGTTCACCAGAAATGTAGAGCTCCTGGATTTCACTGTGACAGTGCTTGGAAGGCAGCCGAGCAGTTCTGAAGTGGCACTGATGCTATCCAGTTCAATGCCTGCTGGATAACTGTGTGTCATAGAAAAAGCCATTCTTTAACAGCTTCTTATGATGATTTGGAGATAGCTTAGATTAACCAACAGGGTAGAGCAATATATTTCATATGTGTATGGAGTCAACTATTTTTTAAGACTATCTAAAATAGTAAATCCCACCAATCAGTCTAAAAAAATTACAATAAACTTTATTTTGAGTTGGAGAGGTGAAACATACCACAGTGCTCTTAAGAGTCATGTTTATTATGGCTTATTTGGCACCAGCTACTAGCTGTTCATGCCCAGTGGAAGGACAACCCCTGCTCCAGCATGCTCACTATCACCATTTGCATACTGCGGATGTTGACTTTTAAGCAGCTTCCTTTATATAAAAGATCAGAGTGGTGGTGGGTATTTTCCAAAAGTGTATGGACTGTTATTTAGTTGGAAATTGTTTATAATTTGTATTTGCTTAGTAGACTAATGTACTCTACCTCTCCTTTTTTGGCAGTGAGGAATCCCTACACAGGCCACAAGTACCTCTGTGGAGCACTACAGTCTAGCATAGTTTTGTTAGAATGGGTTGAACCAATGCAAAAATTTATGTTAATCAAGGTAATATTACCATAAGGTGAAATAGTCTTGTGTTCAGTTCTATTTATCTTGTAATGACTTGTTAAGAATAAGTATTGGCCATTTCTTGAGTGATTGGACTTTTCTCTTGGTTTCTGTTAGATTACATTGAAAATAGTAATTTAAATGTGTAATATGTATTAACTGACTCAAAAATATTTATAGGAATGTTGTTGGTTTTGTGGTGCACTTCAGTTAGAGAACAAAGCCCTTCTTTCCGTGAACATTGCCTTTTAGTTGCACAGTAAAAAAACCTGGCTGACAGAGACATGGCGGAGTGGAGTGGTAACATGACTTAACAGTGGGCTTGCTCTGATATCAGAAAGAAGGTGCCCGCTTATCCTATGCTTTGTGGCACTGGAGGTGCCCAGAATTGCTTGTTACCTCCCCATCTGACACTGCCTGAAGAGATGGAGCCAGGGTGGACTCACATTTCTAGAGAGACAGCTGCTGCAACTTGATCAGCCTGGGAAACAAGGCTTAGGGACTCCGTAGTCAGGGAGAGCAGTGATGGGTATAGCACTCTTGGCATCTGTGGGCAGCTGCACAGGACACACATGAAGACAGGCATTCTATCTTACTTTGACTGAATTGGCATGAAAACTCTCTAAACTTCTATCAGTTACTGTTATCTGAAGAAGTAAACTTAATGTCACAAAATGTATGGCATAAAGTTTACCGTACAGTTTAAATAGCTAAGAGCAACTCAGACTAAACTTGTTTCCCTTCTAATATCTTTTTTTTTGTTTCTTAATCTAGCACATAGATTTTCCTGTACCTTGTCCGCTGAGATTGTTTGAAATGCTGGTAGTCCCTGAGCAGGAATTCCCTTTAGTTTGTGTCGGTGTCAGTAGAGGAAGAGACTTCAACCAGGTGGTGAAGTTTGAGACACTCAACCCAAATTCTACCTCTTCGTGGTTTACAGAAACAGGTTTGTGTGCTGTTGTAATTGCATTCAGAAATGTTCCTTGCTCTTCTATTATAGCTGAAGCACTAGAAAGGTATTTTCCTCTGAGGAAACTAATGGCTAAATTGTTAAGTCTAAGTGATCATTGTAAGTTCTCTGTTTAAAGGGGTATCTGGTTGTACCTGCTTGCACATACACTTTTTTTTTTGATGTTTCTACTTGTTGAACTGATTGGATTTCTTGAGATTTTGAGTATAGCAGAAGATGAAGTTGTGGTTTCTTGTATTTCCATAAATCAGGCTGTACTTGACTATTACCTACTGTGCTGTTCTGAGCTCTACCCTGGGACCATGACTTCTGTTTATTTAATAGATTTTAATAGAATTGCACTCTGAGCAATTTCTTTTGACATCACTGAAGGTGTGGTTTGGCTCTCCTGCAATAAGTCAGTGTGGGGAGAAATAGTGTTATCAGCCTCCTGCTGAGGGAGAGCATATTTCTATTCTTCCAATGTTTATGGAAAGTGAAAGGGATTAGGACCACTGGTACCAGGAAACCAAGTACCTGTCCATCACTGATTTGGATGTGATGAGTGAGGAGGCCACCATCTGAGCAACAGTAGAAATTATCTTAAGAAGGAAGTGTGCTGAGAATTACTTATCTACAGTTGCAAGGTTCCCCCCTAAACCTAGATACAGTAGTGAGCTGACCCCAGTCATAGCTTGCAGGTTTAGTAGTAGTAATTAACTTTGTTATTACCAGAGATAGAGCCCTTGTTGGTTTATGATGAATTTATACATAGCCCTGTGCTGGCTATATATATATGCATGTGTATGAGTCCAGCTGATTGTGTACTGTGGAATTCACTAAGGAGTACAGTTTCCACTAGGAAGACACCTGCTGACTTTCTTGCTGCTGAAAAGTGCATCAGATTTTGACACAGTTTAAAGCATAGTTAACAAAAAACAAGTGATCAGTGGATGGCAAATTAATGCACTTAACTACTTCAGAGTTAGTGCATTTTATTTTCAAACTCGTACATCTGTTTATGTAACTGTGTCACTTCAGTAGAGTCCATAAAAGTAGCATGTTGAAGATAAATTCTTTGACCTATAGTGTCCTGTTGTCATTCTTTTCTCAGTAATCCCATCATGGTTCCTTTTTTTTAATGTGAAAAATTTAACATTGCATTGTGCCTTCCAAAAATACTGCTTTAGCTTCCTTGAATCGTTTATATGTTCTTGTGTTGTGTCTATGTTGTTATTTTCTCCTATTTGTTTGGCTCTAAGTTAAACCCTCATGTTGTTTTGGTTTATTTCTGTCCCCTGCTGGCAGGAGAGCAATAGTGCAATGAAACAGATTTTCAGTGTTTTTTAAATGAGGAAAGTGTGTACTGTATGGTCTCAAATAGTTTCCATCAAATAGTAGTTTTCATTGTTTGACATTTGACTCTTTTTGTAAATGTCCGATAAAGACGTTTTTAAAAAAATTAGCGGCCAGGGACTTACTGCAGGGGGTTTCTCCCCTTGCCATCCTTCTCCTGTTAGCTTTGGCCAGTGTGGCGCGTGTTTCCACATCGTGTAATGTGGTTGCACAGATGTATATCCTCCAGTCCTTCTGTTGCATGCTTTCATCACGGCTATATCCACCTTTGGTTAAGATCATAAATGTATACATTCCAAGATAAATGGCGAAAAAGAGATGGAGGGACCATCTCAAGGAGCACATTTCTGCCATCATCCTTGAGGAGTTCTTTGCTTCTCAGCAGGACCATGGATTTTATTATTTAATTGAAAGTTCCTTTTGTATTTTAGGTAACATGCTCTAATTTCTCATCTCTAACAGATATAATGAGTTTTCTTTTTTTTTATGGGAAAGAATGCCTACAGAATTGCTGGCAGTAACGCTGAATTAGTGAGAGCTGCTTTTTGTGTGTTTTTAATGTTAACAAACAAATGGACAAAAACTACAGTTCTCTTTTGAGTTGACGTGTCCACTAATCACTTGTGGGTCAAATTCCCCTGTTTGCTGTGATGGAGACTGCTGCAGCTGTAACCCAGAAGAGAGGAAGGTAACCCTTCTATTAAGAGTTTGGAGAAGGAAATAATCCCTTATTTTTGGAAGATCTGGGGATGGAAAGTCTGAAAATAGCAGCAAGAATTAAGTACTAATATTAAAGTCCCTAGCAAGATTTAGAAATAAAGGCAGAAGAAAAATGGAATGAAACATTCGGAATTAGTGTGAGCAGTTTAAATAGCTGCCTTTTTTTGCTACAGCAATATTAAATGACACCAACAGAAAATAAAGGGAGAACAATGTAAATGTGAACTTGCTTTTATGACATGGCTCAGAAAAGGCTGGATTAAGTCCATACTTTAATATTACAGCTTCAGTTTTCCTGTCACAGTCAACATGTTGGATAAGTGGACATGCCTCTCTAAGAGAAGAGAAATGTCACTGGTAAGATGATTATTTTAAGTAGATAAAAGCACACCAACCCATTAAATTGTCTCAATCTCTAGAACTTCCATTTCAAATTTCATGGTAATTTATGTTATGAACTAACACTGTCATTTTTTTTATAGACACTACAGAGACAAGTGTTGTACATGTAACACAGCTGGAAAGAGATACCATTTTGGTGTGTTTGGATTGTAAGTTGTAGTATCAACTAAATATATATTTATGCATGTACGTGCATACTGTCTGTCTTCAAATTGGGTCATATATTGAAGATTAATTCTTGGCTGACATATCCTATTTATTGTCTAGGCTGTATAAAAATAGTGAATCTGCAAGGCAGGTTAAAATCCAGCCGCAAACTGTCATCGGAGCTCACGTTTGACTTTCAGATTGAATCAATAGGTAAGTTGGATTTCTATATTAATATTGAATATCTGGACAGACTAGAGAGCTGGTCAATCACCAACCAATTTAACAAAATCAAGTGATGGACTCTGCACCTGGGATGGGGTAACCCTGGCTATACGTACAAATTGGGGGACAAGAGGCTGGAGAGCAGCCCCGCGGAAAGAGATCTGGGGGTTTGGGATGATGGCAAGTTGAGTATGAGCCAGTAGTGTGCCCTGGCAGCCAAAAGGGCCAACCACCCCCTGGGGGTGCATCAAGCACAGCATTGCTGACCAGTTGAGGGAGGTAATTGTCCCACTCTGCACTGCACTGGTGCGTCCCCACCTCGAGTGCTGTGTGCAATTTTGGATGCCTCAATATAAGAAGGACATCAGGTTATTAGAGTGTGTTCTGCATGTGTGTTCACGCAGTCCATTTTTATAAAGCAGCTTAAAGACTAAATTATATGATATGTCACATTTACATAAATTTTGTTTTCTTATGAAGATTCTGAATTAATTAAGATTTGTGAAACAGAAAAACAGAATATATTTGTTTTTACATTTCTTGAGTGGTTACATACCTGGATTTCATCACTTGCTTATGAAAGAGGGACGAGGAAGAATGTGCACACAGATGGAGGGTAGCACCAGAAGAGGAGGAACAGTGGAAACAAAAATAATGAGTTGGAGGGAATTTACTTCTGAGGAGAAGCTTTAAAGTTTCAGGCACTTCGAACATAATGTCTCACGGGGAAAAGGATAAAAAAAATTGTCATGGAAAACATTACTTTTATGGCTCCTGTTGCTTAGGAATGGAGGGAAGGAAGGAGTACATGTACTTGAAGCTGCTGACTGTGGGACCTCTGCATGTGCTGTAGTCTTGTCCTCTCTCTGCTCATCACAAACGAGCTACCGGTGTCCTGTTCTGGCCTGATAGTATCTCCAAAGAGCTCTGCTCTCTTTCCTGCATACCTGCCCGGAGGCAGGATGCTGGATGCAGGTGGGACAGATTGTTCCAGGGGACCTCCACACTTGCCCTCTCTTTGAGGAAGGCCCTACCCCTGTTTACTTTCACAGGGTTCGAATGTAGGTGTCTCACCACATTTGTGACAAGGGGAAGGCCTGGGAAGTAGAGGGCCCTCTATACATTTGCTCCTAGTATTAGAATGTGAAGGGGTTTCCTGTTCAAAGGAAAGGACACTTTTAGGGCTAGACAGAAGGACAGCTTTAGAACTTTTTCTGGTTGGGCGGTAATATTTTTAAATGCAGTCATTAAACAAATACATAGTAGCAGCTACTTTTGAGGCAGGTTCAGTGATTCCTGTGAGACATTTTGCGGCGTGTGGGTGAACGTGATACAATAAAACATACATGCACAAATTTTAAAATTGCAGTCATATGCTTTTGGCCTTAAAAGCACAAGTTGACATTATGCCTGAAAACTAATTCCAGTGTTCTTTGTTACCAGTCTGTCTACAAGACAGTGTGTTAGCATTCTGGAAACACGGCATGCAAGGAAGGAGTTTTAGATCAAATGAGGTGAGTACTGCATTTTGCTTCAAATTCTAGCTGCTTATATAAGCCAAGTAGAGGATGAATGCATAATACTGTGGTCTGAAAAACAGTAAAACATTTCAGTAACTTCCTAGGTTAGACTGGAAGATGGAAGTCTCATTCTAAGCATGTTTCATAAGCCACAAACTAATTAGTGAAGCTGTACAAGAGCCCCTGTCAAGTCTAACATAAAAAGCAGAAAGCAACAGGAGACCAGGCCATGATGCCATAGAAGATATCCAAGCCTAATTCTTGGTAACATTAACTTTTTTTTACCTTAAATTGCATTGAAGACTAGTGTCAGTCCCACAGACTCTCACACATGGATACCAAAAATTTGGGCTTTGCCAGTGGTTGAATACTCCACTTTAGCTTTTTGTCACAGCCTTGAATGAGTTGCCTGTTGGTTATTTTTTAAGTCTCTTCCATGTTCCCTTGGCTCCCTTGGCTTACAAGTACTTTGAAGATTTTAGTCCCCAGCTTTCACAATAAATATTTTACATTCTCAGGAGAAAAATGTCAGATTGACCTAAAGATTTCTTCTGAATTACCCTGTAGTCTTTTTTTTTTTTTTTTTTTTTTTTTAGCTAGCTTGATGTGATTTTTAGGCATTGTAAAACCATTATAAGTACCTTCCCAACTCTTTTTTTTTTTTATTGCTGCAAACCTTGTGCATCTGTGTGTTAGTGGAAACGCTGTGCTTTGTAGGATTTTAATGAGTCTTTTAATTTGGTTATTCAAGAATGTTTGCAAACTTCACCAGTTGTTTTATCAGTGTCACGTTGGCTGAGAAATTGAGCTCGTTATGACTAATTGTATTTTAAGGTACACATACAGTCACACAATGCCAAGCTTAGATATTCCACTTTGTTACACAACTGCATTTATTTGCACAAAGCCAGAGCTGACCTAATCTATACTTGACAATAAGCCTGCTCTTTGTGGGAAGTTGGACCAAAGACTAGAGTTGGTATAACTTCTTATTTCCAAGTCTGCAAATGGTTCTTGTGGCATTTGTGCATGTTTGATCCCCAGGCATGATTGTCCTTCTCCCAAGAACTCATAATAGTGAACCGCAGCACCCTGCTGTTAGCACATGAGGAGGAGATGATGTTGCTAGGCACTTCTCCAACTCCAGACTCCTGCTAGCAGCGTTCTGCAAGGCTCAGTGGATTACTCCACTTGTTGGCACTCAGTAGCTCTGATCCAGTTGTTAGAGAATATGCCCCAGAGCGCTGCAGTGCAAGTGGGTGCTTTATAATGTTTATGTAAAGCATAAGGAACGCTGTCTGCTTGTTTTGTTATTGTCAAGCCAAAGCCAGCACCTAAATGAAGAACAGAATGCAGAACTGAGCTGTTGTCAGAAAGCAAGCCACCCAAAACTTTTTCTCTGTAGAACATACAGACTAAGCTCTCAGGCCTGTTTAAATTCCTTATCTCTCTGGCTGTCCTACTAGCTACAGCTATTTAGAAAACAAAACAAAACAACTGATTTTCTTCTGTAATATGAAAAACCTGCATTACCAAGCTCAGATCTTGATCATATTCGTTACTTTTGGGAAATTTTATACTATGTAGTATGTGGGGACCAATTACACAGGACAAAAACCTGACCAACCTAACTTTGCAGCACATTTGTCTTTTGAAGACATTATTGGTTCAGATTCCCTGATGTAGTAACAGTTGGTCTAATTGGGGATGATTTGAGCTGCTCACAAAGTTATTTCCTTCCACAACCATGACCTTCCACAGTGGTTTGATTGAGTGGGAAGAATGAAACAGGGAACTGTGTGAATTCTGAGACAAGACGCTCAAAATTTGGGCCAAGATTGTGCAGACTCAGCCCCACAACAAGTAGGAAGTAATTTTCTTAATAAAGAGGGCAACTTCATTGTTGTGAATTAAAATTCTCTTGCAAGTTCTCTGTGCCAGAAGTGAATTCACTAAGTCAGCTAACTCTACTAGGAGCTCAGAAGGAGAGAAGAATATCTTCTTTCCTTGAGAATGTGCAGTGTGGCTGTGTAGAAAAGGAGCTTTGTAAACAGTGCTGCCTGTTCATGGTGTGACTTGGTACCCTTTGGAGTATGCAGCGAGCTTCAGTTGATTTTATTGACTCATGTGATGTTTTCTTTAGTGCTTTGGTATTCATGTGAGCATAAAGGTGTGTCACACAAGTACAATTCACCTGCAGTAAACAACGCTCTATTGCACTAGTCTGAAATGTCAAAATACTATGTTGGGCATAAGTACCACAAATTAGATTGTTTCTCTGTTAAGGTTTTCAGAATATGAACTTACTGCATCATTACTATGATTCAGAATTTCAGCAAAATGCATTTTATATGTAATTTACCTGACCCATTTTGGATATCTACTCTGGAGTGAGACAATTCTTACAGCTACCTATTTGAGTCATGGCTGTAAAGAGAATTGCACTGGTAGCTCGGATGCTGTGCAGTGCTGAGCCCTGCTGTTGTGCTTGCAGTTGCTACCAGAGGAATTCACACAATGTGGCAGGAATTACAGAAAACATTTAGATCTCACTTAAAAGTGACAGTTGCATTAAATTCTCTTATCTGATTTAAATCAGCAGTAAATTGGTAACATCAGTCAATTCTTTTCTCTAGGTTGATTTTAAAAACAAAATAAAAACACTTGTGCATTTAACATGTAAACACTTGTCTTATTTTTGTCTAGATCACACAAGAAATTTCTGATAATACAAGGATATTCAGGCTTCTGGGATCTGACAGGTATGAAGAGAAGTGAACATGGCATGCTAAAATAGAAGAATAACATGTGTTCCTCCTACCTTAAAGTTCTTTTTGCTTGTTTCTTGTGATTCCTTTTTTAGCCATCTTACTCATTCCTTTGTGTACGTGTCTACCTTTCAGCCCTTCAAGTTTACTTTTCTTTCTTCAATTAAAAAAAAAAATTAAAAATTCTTCTGAAAGTGTTTTTGGGCTTCCAGAAGTACTCAGCTAGCAAGCTCTTATTTGGCTGCAGTCACAACCTCCAGGAGTGTTTTCCTTTTTTGTGCTGTCATTCTTTTTTTTAAATTGGTGAAATCTTTACTTTCAGATGCTCTGCTGCAGTAGCTCATCCAGATCTACTTCTTGAGACAAATGCAAAATATACTTAAAAATTTAAATATCTCACTTTCACCCCCAGAAAGGAACTCTACCAGTTGTCCTCCCAACATGACAGTTCAGGTCTTGTAAGAGCTCTTGATAATTTCCAGTGTAGCTGTTCTTTGGCATCTGCTTTGCAGGACACCAACACCGTGTCTGTCTGACCCATCACGTACCAGCTTGCCGAGTCAGTAACTGCTATTTTAGGAGTGTCATTGACTTCCTCAGCTTTCTCTGCCCTGCTGACGAACTTTGTACTTCTGTAACAGCCACAAAAACAGCAGATGTTTTGTTTTCTGGGGAGTGCGTGCTGATGTGATGGTTTCACCAGTAATGTATTCATATGAAGTGCAAAGATAGGCTTTAATTTTTCCTTTTGAGAACTGCCTCTCTCTTATGCCACTCACAGTAAACTCGCTGTCTTGTGGCATCTTAGAACTACCAAAAGAGCTTCACATCAGCCAAAGGCTTTCCCCATGTTTTGCTTCTGCAAGCTTGATGCATAGCCCAGTAATTACCCATAACATCTACAGCAGCGAATGGTGCTGTGGCTTTATCAGCTAGCTACCGGCGATTTTTGGTGGCTGGGGGTTGAGGATTCTGCCTTACGTGTGCAATACCCGATAGCTTTTTGGTAATGGGTACTTGTAAGTAATACTTACCTCTGACCTGAGGGTTTTACTCTCTGTTCCAGTGAGGTGTGCGTTGACCTCAGCTTTATTATGTCATTTTTCTTAGTTGTTGAGAGACAGCACAACTCAATTTAAAAATGACTCTGACTTCCCAATGGAGGATGACATTGCAAATCATTGCCTTGGAAAAATAATGTCCTCTTCCCCAAATACAGTTCCATCTATTTCTGGCTTGTACTAATAGTCTCCCAAGTGTGAGACAATGTTTAAAGACTTTACACTGCAATAAATAACAATTCCAATTTCTTCAGATACTATTTTGCTTGCAGCTCCATCATATTTTGTGCTTGAGCTGTGAAACCTTTTTTCCAGTAACACATGTCATCTTCTAGGCAGTTCATAGGAACTGGGGTTCTAAAAAGCTAAAAAACTGACATCAGTCTGATAAGAGCTTGCATGTAGCTTTCTCCTGGTGAGCAGGGAATGCCTCATGGCATGAGGTGTCATTCCCTTTGTGGAGCACATTGAGGAGAGGGTAGGTTTTCTGAGCGATAGTTGTGAAGCACACAACCTCTCCTTGGGTGAATGCACAATAGATGGATTTGAATTTCCCACAATCTATTTTCTCTTCAGGGTGTTTGTGGAGGAGAATTCAGTCATGAACATCCTGGTCCATTTAGCAGTTTTAGCAGTTCTTGCCTGATTAAAAAAAAAACTCAAATAGTTTGTGAAACAGAATTATGACACTAATTTCTCTCCTTTGAAGAGAAAGGTGTGATCTAGGACATCCCTTACAGTCTTTGCAGTTGTAGTGGAGGTCCAGCTAACCCAGTCTTCTGTCTCCAGTGCTGGCCAAAAGTGGGTGACAAGAAAAGTGAGAAGATTCTGCACATAGTAATCCTTTCCTTGAGGACTCTCTCAGCCTGCAAGTCTTTGTCTCTGGAACTTTCAGATCTGGAGGAAGTTTCTGTGGATTTAGGTTACATGGGCTCAGGGAAAGATTAGAAATGCTCACTGAAGAGTCAGCTTTGGTCACCTGTCATGTCCAGTGGCAAAGGGCAGACTAATGACTTCCAAAACTGGAGCCTGATTAATGGCTCAGCCTTGCAAAGTTCCGAAGCACAAGCCCAGGCAGTAGGGGAGTGATGGACCCTCCTCAGAAGCCCCTACTTGACAAGAGGCAAAGGGCATACGTTACAGCAAGGGAAATTTCAGCTGGCTGAAGGAGGGCAAAACATCATGGTGAGGGTGGCTGAACACTGCAGTAGGAGCCCAGAGAGGCTGTGGGAGATCCTAGGAGACCTTGCTGGACAAGACCCTGAGCTCGCTTTGAGGTTGGCCTTCCTTTGAGCGGCTTTTGGACTAGAGGCAGCCAGGTAAAGAGAAATGACCACTGGTTAGGTGGATCCTGGGAAAGAATACTTAAAGTTGTATCCAGGGATGTTTTTAAATGAAGGCTTAATTGACATTGTGGCTTTATTTTCATTTTAGGGTCGTGGTGCTGGAGAGTAGGCCGACAGATAACCCAACAGCCAACAGCAATTTATATATCCTGGCAGGGCACGAGAACAGTTACTGAGAAAAGCGGACAGTAGGCAGCTCACTGAGACAAGAGAACACTCCTGCTGCAGCAGCATCTGCGGCTGGCTGAAATTGCACAAAAAGCTGCAGTAACCCGACTTCAGTTACTTTGTAATTTATTGTGGTATGAGAGGAAGACAAGAATTGTTTGTGGTATGGACACATAAGCATTATGATACCACAGAAGTGCTTGATTTACTGTTATGTAATCTTTGTACATATACAGTATTTTTCAGTGAAACTTCTTGCTGAAGACCTACACTGACTTTCTGTAGATAGCAGTCCTCCTGTTAAGTACAAGTGTCTTACCTGTACAGATGTAAAAGTTACTGAGGATGCAAAATTCAAATCGGGGTACTATTTTAAGGACTTCTCATGTGTTTATTATAAAGTGGGATGCTAGGAACAAATATAGTACATTTAACAACACTATTGTATTTTATTATATGTAATTTACTAATACAAATAAATCTTAACTTTTAGAAATTGTAACCAAGGCTGTAATCAGATTACAATCTTGTTTTAATTTTGATGCAACACACTGGTGTTCATGTTTGCACAACGTATTGAGATGTGATGTATTTGGTCACAAAGGTAAGCTGTGACTTTGTGGATATGACTTGGGCTTCAAAGTTCCTTTTTTTTTAGTTTACTCGGGTAGTTTTCTCTGTGAAACAAACCAGTTAAACACCTGTATTTTTATATTTAATTAAAACTCTCCTTACAATTACTTCTTTATGCTTGAAAACAATACTTTCTGGATGGGTATCAGACCCAGACTAGTGGTACCTGGCTGTAACACTGCAATAGGTGTTTGAATTATTAGTTGTATACAAATGATAGAAATGAGTATTACTGTTCATCTTACTAAATAGTTTTATGTCACAATGAAAACGAGCAACATTCCACATTGTGGAGATGGCTCAAAGATGTTGCCATTTTGACTTTTTTTTTGGCCTTATAAAAATCTTCATACTTTTTTGATTTAGGATGTTAACACATGGCCAAAATAATTTAGTTACTACCTCATTCAAATAATACAATGGTTACTACGCATCACAGGAACTTAGTTTTGATCAGAAGTGTTTTTGATTGCTATTTTCCAATGGAGTATGTAAATGCCAAGTTTTAGCAAAATGCACACATTTGACTCCTTTTTTGTATATGTTCTTTATATTTTATTGTGATAATATACACTAAAACCAAACTAAATTTAAAGTGATTTATGGCCTGCATTATTGTTGTGATTGGTTATGCTTTGAAATATGTTCCCTAATGTATATAATGTAAAATAAACTTTTTTTAACATGTTGTTGTACAATTAGATGACCACCTACACTAATTTTCCACGTAAGACTAAAATGGAACATACTGAGTTTTGAATTCTGCTATTAAATGTTTGTGCCAAACACAGAAGCTGGGCATTTCTGAATGTATGAACGGTCAGACCGCTGGAGCTCACCTCAGTTTAGGCTAGCACTTGAGGGTAGGTGTTATTACCCTTTTGGCCTTTAGGCAATGGATATATGTATTTGAGAGAAGTCTTTCAAAATTCCAGCCTGTTTGATTTCTTCCCTCCATCACCAGCTTTTCCACCTCTGTTGAATGCTGGGGCGGAATATCAGTTTTTCAGGGTGTTTTTTCTGTGTATTGGACTCAAGCTTGCTGCCTCTGCTGGTCCCATCTCTTCTGTTCCCTGGCACTGAACCTCAGCCCCACCCTGTGGGAGAGGTGGCAGTGCAAGCCCCGCTGCCGAGAAGCTGAATTCTCAGAAAAGGCGAGAACTTGTGTGTGTTTCACAGCACGCTTGTGCTGCTGCCCAAGGGGGATTTCCATCCTGCTTCCCATGGACTATTCCTTGCTTTGACATGCAGAAAGTAGCTAAATTTTAACCAAGTACAGTATAGTTGATGTGCTATAAACATGTTTCCTCCTGTGGGGTTTCTGCAGCAACTGTGGCCAAATGTCTTGCTGTTTGGGGCTGTTGAATTACAGGCAAGAGGAGCTAAGGGATATCGGGTTGAGTGTTTTGGTACAAGGATGCATGCTGGGATGCAGCTGGAAGAGCTAAAAATAAAGAGCACAGGGTAATGGCATGTGGGAAGAAGAGGAGCATTGTGCTAGGGCAGGCTTGTCTCAAATCTATCAAGATAGCCAGGACAGCTTTGCTCTCCAGATGCTGCTCCCCAGTCTGAAAGAAAAGGAAGAAGCGAAGGGTTCCTGCTCTTTGAGGAATTGTCCTGTTGCAGGATTTGGGGTCTGCGTCACAAAAATGCATCTTCCTGCATCCTGAGCTGCTCAGCTCCTCGGCCAGCAGCTGCCCTCAGCTGAGCCCAGGAGCCTGGATGTCTGGTAGAGCAAAAAGTCTCATTTGCTGGACCTGCAATTGCCATGAACTGAAAGTTCCCACTGAGCTTCCACCACCCCCATTCTGATGTAAGATTGGGATCAGTGTGCGGCTGACTGGCAGGAGCACAGTCAGAGCCAGGAAAACGAATCACAGGCACAACAAGGTTAGAGCAAGGCTTCTGCCCACAGCAAGCTGACAGAGCTTCTCTAAACCTGCGTGGCTTCCCTTTTTCAGTCTCCTCCCAGCCCCTTCCACTCTGCTATCGTTGGCTTCTAGCTAGTGCTCCTGGCCGCTAACAGGCAGAAGTGGTGTAGCTGCACAATGGGGCATTCACCAACCTGGCAGCAAAGTCTGATCAGTGCAGGGGCTGAGCTTGGGTCGCAGTTTGAAATGAGCTTTTCTAAAGAGAACAAAGCAGCAGGTGGATTGGGTCCTTTGCAGAAGTGCTCCTAGAAGCGGGGAGTACAGGGGAATGAATGTTGCTTTTATCCTGTTTTTGCACATCTCTCCATGTAGTGCTGCGCCTGCCTCTGTCAGAAGCAGGATACGGTGACCTGAAAAAGAGGGGGTTCAACTTCAGGTTCTGTGTCCCACTGCCCCTTGACTGAAAACAAGAGCTGTGCAAGGCAAAGCTCATGTTGCTGTCTGCCCTTGTAGCTTTGTCACTGGGACCTTGGGATTGGGCTGGGGGAACACACCAATACTGTGAGCAGTGATGGGGAAGGATGCGTCCCCTGGGCAGGGGGTGGTTCTTACACTCCACAGGGTTCAGCTTTAGCAATAGCACTGCTGGTTTGTGAATGAACCTATGTGAAAAGGTGGGGAAAAAAACTGGTAAAAGCAGGGAACGTGCCAAAACCTCTTACTTCCCTGCAAGGAAGCACTACAGGTTGATCTAAAGTACAGGTCGTAGGGAGTCATGTTCCAAGCCTGTGTCGTCTATTGAGGGGTGCAGAAGGAGCTGGGGGAATGTGTCTGGGGAGGGAGACATGGACCTTGGTGGGCTCTCAGGTGGACAATGCTGGGTTCGCTGTCTGCTGAGCATCATCCTCTACAATACAGCAGCATTACTGTTGCTAGAGGTCTCCTTCCCTCCTTGGGTACAGATTTTCCCTTCAGGGCTAATTTAAATCTAACATTCAAATTCAGGTCCCCCTTGTGTTGCTCTGACAGACAGCTATTCCTAGCAGGAGCCTGTCTTCTAGGCTGAATACAGGAGTACACTGTCAGCTCCTGGCAGTCCCTCCTGGTGGCACCTCCTCACGTTCCCCACAGCAGCTGCTGGGGGCAAAGGGGTGCTGCCACTCTTCATAAGCCCACGTTACTTGGCCAGCCCTTGGGACAGTATGGCAAAGGGCTGCCATAACCCTCCTCCACCTCATCCTCCTCTCCCTCCTGCAGCAGCACTGGGGGATCCTGAGTGTCCCCATGTCACCCACAGACATTGTACACCCCCATAAAGCCACCGCTGCACTGGCTGTGGCCTTTGGTTTCTGCTCCTTCTGACAGCAACAGCAGCAAGTCTCATCTTCACTTCTTGACATAAGGGCAGGTCATCCCACCGCCTGGCTCCTGTGTTGGGTTTGCGTGGCATTTTGGTAGCGGGGGGGGCTACAGGGGTGGC